CTTTCTTGTAACCCAGAAAGATGCACTTCTTGGATTTTGCATCAAGTTTGGATCTTTCATCTCCAGGTACATGCACATAAGCAGAACATCCAAAAATCCTTAAATGATTAAATTTAACTGGATTGCTTGTCCATACCTCTTCTGCGACCTTGCCACCCATGATGCTCGAGGTGATCTATTGATGAGATAACATGTCATATTCACAGCCTCTGCCCAGAAACTCTTAGGAAGCCCTGCATTCAGTCTCAAGTATCTTGCCCTTTCAGTTAAGGACCTATTCATCCTTTCTGCCACACCATTCTGCTGTGGTGTCTTCCGTACTGAAAAATGCCTCTGAATCCCATGCTCCTCACAGAACTTCTGAAACTGTGAATCTGTGTACTCTGTACCATTATTAGACCTCAAATACTTGATCTTTCTGCCAGTTTGGTTCTCCACCTTAGCTTTCCACAGCTTGAATTTAGAGAAAACTTCATATTTCTGCTTCAAGAAATATACCCAAACTTTCCTGGAGAAATCATCAATAAAGGTAACGAAATACTGAGATCCTCCCAATGACAACTCCCTAGTAGAGCCCCATACAATCAGAATGCACATAATCAAGGATTCCTTCAGTTTTGTGCTTTCCAGACATAAAACTGACTCTAGTCTGTTTTCCAAGAATACAAAACTTACAAAGATCGAGCTTGCAGCTTTTAACTCCATGCAGCAGATTTCTTCTATGCAATTCTGCCATCCCACGCTCACTGAGATGACCCAGACGCATATGCCATAGCTTTGTACTGTCATTATTTGACTCCACAGAATGAACTCCACCGACAACTGTATTCTGTAACAGTCTTGTAGATATTACCCGCAGTCAACTTTCCTTTCATCACCGTCAGTGCACCCTTAACAATTCTGATGGTTTCCCTATCCTTATCAGCCTTAGGAATAAAATTATTTCTATGTAGAGTGCCCAAGGAAATTAGATTCCTCTTCAGATCTGAAATATGTCTGACATCACATAACGTTCTAACAGTGCCATTATACATCTGAATTCTGACTGCTCCAATACCAACTATATTGCAGCATCTATCATCACCCAAATAGACTGAGCCAGAATTAGTTGACCTGTATGAAGTAAACCACTCACTGTCAGGTGTTATGTGATAAGAACATCCTGAATCAAGAATCCATGCATCTGTGAACTGAGTTGATGAAACTGAGAGCATATCGCCATCACTGTAATCTGCATTTTCACTCTGCACCACATTTACAGACTTCGATGATGTATCACTTTTCTCCCTAGTCAGCTTCTTCAGCTTTGGACAATCTTGCTTTGGACAATATCTCTTCATATGACCTGACTCCTTGCACTTGTAGCAATGAATTTCCTTTTTGCCTCTAGACTTTGATCTGGAATTTCGCCTTCCAGAACTCTCCTTCTCTTTCTTCCTTCCACGATCCTGCTTAC